TCTGACCGGGGTCACCATCCAGGACCAGGGACTCTACAAGTGCTACACCGGGACCAACGAGAGGACCATGGAGGTCTTCAACCACCTGCAAGTGAACGGTACGACTCCAAGAGTTCCTCTTAAGACACCACCCTTCAGTAGCCTGTGGACACCACCCTTCAGTAGCCTGTGGACACCACCCTTCAGTAGCCTGTGGACACCACCCTTCAGTAGCCTGTGGACACCACCCTTCAGTAGCCTGTCCGGGTATTTATGTTTTTGGAGCTTTTTATTTTGCACTTTCAGCCCAACAGGGCAATCGGTGACACTTTAATTAAACATAATAAAGTTGAATAAATAAATCAAGACGGTTATATTATTATCAAAGGTTTAGTTCATAGCGAATATAAATTCTTTACATTTACATTCATGCACGTCTTCACCAACGATTGCATCTACGCAGTAAAGAGTAAAGACTTAAAAAGCAAAGCAACAGTGACGTTTTCGACGTCATGCCAAAGGAAGTGCTGCTCGTCAGTAAAGCTGCTGGAATGGATGGAATGGAAGTGCTGGGCGTCAGTAATGCTGCTAATGCAGTTCTGCTCAGAGGGAACCGGTCCGTCCCGTATGGCGGTATGTGTCTTAGTTTCTCTGGCTCCGGCGTTCACTCATGCAATCATTTACAGTCCAGTATCTGCTTTCTATTTTCGTTTTGTCACCTGAAGGCAGATTAGAGAAAGAGCTTTCTGTTCAGAAACAATGATAGAAATGAATTCTGAATACCACAAAGGGACGTTTGGACACGTTTGGACCCGTTTGGACACGTGTGACGTTGTTCTTTGTGCGCCGTGTGAACGCACACTAAGGAGTGTTGAGGGGTGAGAGTTGTGTTTGGTCTCCCTCTCCGATAAGATGAGGTCTCTGCAGAGGAGCCTGATATCCACCGTGTGGGAATCAGCTGGTCGGGTGGAAAAGGAGACCTGCACACCTCTGACACAAGCACACAAACATCCTGAAGCGCTCTGTTCACTGCTCCCCCATCAGAGAATGAAACCAAACCAAGCAGACTGGTCTTTCTGAAGGTAACCAGGTAGCCGTAACGTCGTTTGGTTGATAAATGGTGCCGTCTCTCATATTCATACAGATCGATTTAGTCGCCAACAGCTTCATGATTCCTCATTAATGTGCGAAGGAGCAATTAGCACCTTAAAGACGCCACGTCTCACTCGTCTTTGCAGCTCCGGTCCGTAGAGTGGACATCCAGCAGGCAGAAGACAGCATCACCTGCAGCTCAGAGGGGATCTACCCTCAACCTGGGCTCACCTGGTCCACCAGACCTCCGTCCAACCGGAGCCTCTGGAGCCCAACAGTGCAGCAGACTGCACAGCAGCTCTTCAGCATCAGCAGCTCTGTCACGAATCCAGCTGCTGATCTGGACTACATCTGCACCGTCAGCGGCGGAGGAACCAAAAGGACGACCACGTGGGCTCGACCAAGTGAGTGTCTCCGGGGAGAAGTAGATTCTGATGGGAAACACACGGATCATCTGTATGTTCTATCTTCTCAGCCTCCATCAACGGGTCAGAGTCTGGAACGACGATCCCCTGTGCGTCCTTACCCGCCCCTCATACCAGTCTCACCTGGAGGTTCAACCACAGTCACACCATTCTGAAGCAGAACGGGTCCAGCAGCAAGGTCTCAGACGGCTGGACTCAGCATGTGGAGATCTCGACAGAGTCGACCGACCTCACGCTAAAGGACCTGTCTTCAGCTCAGGAGGGGATTTACACCTGTGAGCTCAGTAACAGCGAGGAGACATACGTAGCCAACACCTTTCTGAGGGTGCAGACGAGTCCAGGTGAGAGGCAGGAGAACCTTCATGGTCCGTTATCACCTGATATCTGGTCCACGACACGCCGGGTACCAACACAGCAACATCTCACAACCTGAAACACACAAAGACACGCACACTAGAACTTTATGCTTCTGCTCCATGTTATCGTTGGTAGAATTATGAACTAATCTGGTCTTCAGGTTCAGGCTTGAATGCTGCTGGAGGCATTGCAGTTGGAGTAGTTGGAGTAGCTGTAATTTTAGCCCTTGTGGTCTCAGTCTTCATCTTCATCAGGTAACTATTGATAATATTTCATCCTCCGCTTATTAATAAATTGTGTTAAGTTTGTACTCTTGATTGTGTATTTTGAACTCAGAAACAAGAAAAAGGAACAGGAAAATGAAATGGAAACCACGGGTTGGTCAGAGGAGAAAGAATCCATGAAGTAAGTACTGATAATTATTCTGTCCTGCTCGAAAGGTTCAACCTGTTCACTCACCTGACAGACCGCCTTCTTCCTCCTGTGATCCATTCAATTAATTCATCAATTGAACTCTTCTGCTCAGTGTGAGTGCAGATAAAGGATGTTCAGGACGCCTCTCGTTGTAAAGATGTATTGTCTGTTCAGAAACATCAGATGTCTTCATGAAGAAGAAGAAAGCTCGACGTGATTCAGAATTCTGCTCTACTCAGTTTGCAGAAGACAGGATGAAGTTAACAAAAGGACAAAGAACTATATATATAGACCGAGAGAGATGAAGCTTCTCGTCTTCACGCAGACTGATGATTCCGTTCCTGTCATTCATTCATCTTCGTTCCTCCTCTTCGTCACGGCCTTGTGCTGCTCGTGTGGACTAAGAGAATGAAGAAGCACGACCACATTAGGATGTGTGATGGATATTAATGAACTCCGGACAGATGAAGTGACTCACGTGAACAAAGGTGAAAGAGGTGGAAAGTCTCCTCAGATGTTTCATCAGAAACATTTGAGCATCTTGTCATGAAAAAGACGTTTTTTATATTTAGAACACATTGAAAATAACTTGCGTGTAAACTTTCGCAATCAACTATTTGTTATTCATGTCTCTGTTTCTGCACCTGAAGCAAAGAACATTGAAACGTTGAGCTGCATTATGTTGAACGTCCCTGCTGACAGGGACATTAAATACATTTGATCGTACGTTTGTGGATCATGAGTTTAAAAGAGGAAGAACGTGGATCCCGTACATCTCCTCTCCACCTCTGGGTGGACTTCAGTTCATCGATCAAAGACCTTCTCTGATTCCCACCTGGATGAAACAGATAACTTTTGATTTGGTTCCAACCATTCAGTCAATCATTTATGGACCCTGGAAGTCACTTTTCATCACCTGTGTGACGTTGATCACCTGATCACCTGATCACATGGTCTCCGGCCCGACTGCTGCCTCCCGAGTCTTCTTCTCAGCTCAAACGCATTTCATCCAAAGCTCATCGCGGTTACATGGAAATAAGGGCTATGACACACACACACACACACACACACACACACACACACACACACACACACACAGACACACACACACACACACACACCTTGCTCCTGGAGCTCAGAATAGTCTCCCAGGTTTCGGCCTCATAGTTCTGTCTCCTGTTGTTGTGTTTCCAGGGCGGTCTGTAGACTACAAAGCTCAGCACGTCACTGCAGTACTTTGCATACCACACATTCCCTTCATGGAATGTTAAAGGACCAGATTACACACCTACAAACACACACACACACACACAACGGAGGCGATTAACATGAGTGATTCATCAATTTACTTAATGCAACAATGGAAGTTTACTATCAAATGAACCAGTTAAAATCATGTTGTCTTTGTTACTCAGACGACTTAAACGAGTCACAGTTGTAATATGAGAACATTTGCAGATTCTGCATCACGTGACATTTCATTTTGCCAGCAGAGAAAAGGAGGACAATCCTCCGGAGACGCAGCAGGACGACGAGGACGAAGGAACGCCGGAGACAAATGAAGGGACCAGCGTCTCCACTGAGGCTTGAAGACACATTCACACAGGATGGACTTATTTACTGCACTGAGAGCATGACCTTGAAGGCAACATTCACTCAACAACACTCAGAACCCAGACTGGTGACCTGGGTTCTAAGTGTCTAGCTTAGCTTAGCTTAGCATCCAGCTAAAGGTCATCAGCTGGTTAAACTGGTGCTAACCAACAGAAATGAAGGACAAATACTTAAAAATAGAGATGTATATATTTCTTATTGTTTTTTTTCATTGGTAATTGTTTTCGTGACGTAAGGAGGTCTTTAAATGTTTTGTCACGGCGGAAAGCTTCACTCTTCCATCTTCTCCCCGGGTTCATTCATTCGTCTCACCTGGGGGTTCATGTCCTCGGGTCCAGTAGCTTCTGTTTGGGATTTGAGGCGGCGGTGGCGCGTGGAGTGGAGATGGAGAGCTGGGAACCAGAAGGTTGGTGGTCCAAACCCCGGCTGCTCCATGTCCCACGTTGAAGTGTCCCTGAGCAAGACACTTAACTCCTGATTGCTCCCCCGACTAAATGTAAAAGCCACGTTAAAAAATGCCAAACGTATCTACGTTGAACGTATTGGAATGTGAGGGACAGATGGACAGAGAAGGTCTCAGGTTACAGCTGCAGCTTCACACCTCCATGTGAAGGGGACAGTCCATGAGGGGACACTTTGAAGAAGAGGCCAATGACATTCAAATGCACCCAAGAAGACACATCAGGAGTTTTCAAAGGACCAAAGCGAGGAAAAGACTGTTAGAATTCTCCTGCAGCCGCTTTGATATAAGTCACTTTAGACTTGAGGATTCTCTATTTTGTGAAATATTTCACTGTTTGTTTTGTATTTCACTTTGTAACTGGATTCCTTTTCACTTTGTTTAGTTATTAAATACATTTTGATTTCTAAATTTGAGCAAGTTGACTCTTTTGATTTATTGTTTCTGGCGAGAACAAAGGAGTGAGGCCTCCATCGAGGGTCCACAACGAAACGTATTATTAGCTTACAGACGCCGTCTTTTCTCACATTGTCATCTGTGAAATACACAAATCTGTTGTTAAAGTCATCAAGATTCTCCTGACTTTGAGTTCTAAAAACTGTACTTTAAATTATGTATTAAAATGAGATAATTTAACGGAAACAAAGGAATCAAAGATGTCTGAATGGAAACGTTTATTCAAACCACACAAATAAAATAAAAAGCTGATATACTGATTCAGTTATTCACCTGGAAAAACGCACACAGCTACGAAACCACAAACAAACAAACATAATCGAGAAAGAAACAAACGTGGATTTTAACAGGAGAGAAACGTGTGCGTGCGTGTGTGTGTGTGTGCAGACGTGTGCGTGTGTGCGTGTGTGTGTGCAGACGTGTGCGTGTCACAGCTTGCGGCCGCTCAGGTAGTCGTACGAGTCTCCCTCGAAGGGCAGATGTGGAGGAGTGTTATAGATGCCCATCAGGAAGATGATGATGGTGCCGAAGGTCATCACCGGGGTCACCAGGAAGAGACAGAGGCGGTCCACCGTGCGAGCGATGCCGCTCCAGTTATCCTTCTCCTGAGGAGAGAGAGCGGAGTCGGGAGGCTGCGTGCTGTGCGGCGCCCAGCAGGGGGCGCCTCCTCTGGTCCCACCACGCGTCTCCTCAGGCTTCAAGCAGGAAGTCTCACCTCGTTGTAGTCGTTCTTGTTGCGACTGTGTTTGATGATGTAGTTCGCTCCGTCCACCGCCGGCTTCATCTCGCCGTACAGCTGATCCGTGACTCCTCCCTCCTCCTTCGGCTTCACAACTACACACAGACACGCAACAAAGGGCGGAGGAAAGGGAAGTAAATGACGTCAGGTAGCTTAGCTTAGCATTTAG